CAGATGGCTGAGCCGGCTCTCAGCAGGTCCCTTTGAGAGGAAAGGCCACCACAGCACATTCAAGCATGCACAGTTGACTGGAGGAAAAGAGGGCCACACCCCTGGCGGGGGCTGGGAAGGAGCCGGGTCACCCCGTGGAGGCCATGGGCCATGGCATATGCAGCCCTGACTGGGCGATCTCCTGGGCGCGGCTGTCGAGGGCTGGAGCTAGCAGAGGAGATATTACAAATGATGCGATCTGATTACACTAATTACTAATAATGGCCCCAGCCAGGAACCCAACCACAAGTCAATTCATTTTAAAAGCTGTATAATAATGTTTAGGATAAGGAATTAATTTTTATAGCCACTAGAGCAATTGAACTTCCACTGCAACACAGATTTATTACAAATTGAATTTTCCCCTCAAGTGGTTAATGTAAAGAGTGTGTGGGTAGAGCTGGGGGGAGGGGGAGCCACTGGTCTTGCTCCCCCCCCCACTGAAACCAGCGGTGGGGGCTTGGAGGCGTGTGTGCACATGTGCGCATGCATCTTGTGCTCCCCAAGGAACATGTGGCTCCCTGGGCCTCCTCCCTCCCATTCCAGGTGTGGCCTTGACCTCGGAGGTTGGGCGGGGCTGGGTGCCCCACCGTCTGGAAGAAAAGGCGGGGAACCGCTGGGTTCTCTTCTGCAAGTCTGCCACACCGTGAAGGGACTTCTCGGTGGCTCCCATGCCAGGCTGGGTGGCAGTGCCCCTGCCCTGCCCCTGCCCTGCCCAATGTCACCCACACCCTGCTCTGTCTGATGTCACGCACCTGCTCTATGACTCTGTCAGCTTTTGGCCAAGTTGGGCCTGGCATCAGGCACCCAGACTTCGACTTTTTTTGTTTTGGGGTTGGCACCAGGGCTTGAACTTGGGGCCTGGGTCTGTCCCTCAGCTTTTTTACTTGGGACTGGTGCTCCATCACTTGAGCCACAGCTCTACTTTCAGGTTTGTTTGATTTTTTGCTGGTTCATTGGAGATAAGAGTGGCATGAACGTTCCTGCCCAGGCTGGCTTTGAACCGCGATCCTCAGATCTCAGCCTCCTGAGTGGCTAGGATTACCGTCATGAGCCAGCCATGCCCCGCCATTCTGATGGATTTTAACTGTCCTTTAGCTGTTTCACTCAAGGCTGGTGCTCTACCACGAGCCACAGCTCCACATCCAGCTTTTTGGTGGCTAATTGAAGATGAGTCTCTTGGATTTGCCTGCCCGGGCTGGCTGTGAACCGTGATCCTCAGATCTCGGCCTCCAAGAGTAGCTAGGATGATAGGCGTGAGCCACTGGCGCCTGGCAAAATCAAATTTTTTTTTTTTCCCATGGCTGAGGACCGAACCCAGGGCCTTGCGTGCGCGGGGCGGGCGCCCTTCCGCTGGGCTAAACCCCCAGCCCCGCAAAATCAAATTTTTAAATGAACAACAGGGTAACTGCACAAAGATGGAGGATTCTGGATGTTATACTAACCTTCGGGGCCTGGGAGCGAAGCCCCACATCACCCCCCCTCCCTCCTGGGGGCCCCACAGCCGCCGCTGAGGGAAGGGCGGCAAATGCCAACCTCGGGCCTGGAGGAGAAACTATTCAACTGCCTATTTGTTCCGAGAGAGAAAGAGCACAATGAATGACTAGAAAGCCCCTAAATTACAAGTGTGGGTTACAGTAATTGCTAAATTACAGAGCTCCAACTTTATCAGATACCCCCCCCCCCCCCGCATCAGAGGCTTCCGGGACTGCCTTGAACCGACACCAGCGCTGCGCTCGGGATGAGCCGGGTGCGCAGCGGCAGCAGCAGGATCTGAGGAGAATGGAAGCCAGGACTTTGGCATTGGGGGCCAGGACCCTGCGATCAATGGGGGCCAGGACCCCGCGATCAGTAGGGGCCAGGACCCCGTGATCAGTGGGGGCCAGGACCCCGTGATCAGTGGGGGCCAGGACCCCGTGATCAATGAGGGCCAGGACCCCACGATCAATGGGGGCCAGGACCCCGCGATCAATGGGGGCCCGGACCCAGGAGTAATTTCCCGGGGAAGCACCGTGCAGCATCGCGAGCAGGAGCTGGACAGACGGAGGTATTGGTGGGTGTTGAATTTGGGGGAGCAAAGTTAAGTTGGCTTTGGCCCATGGATTTGGAGTCTGAGGGTTTTTTTCCAGGTTGACTTAGTGCACGGGCACAGGCAGAGCGCCCTCTGTCGGGGGACGGTGTCCCGGCCACAAACTCCACCTGAGCCTTGGAAACAAGCACCCCCCCTTTCCTTAAATGGCTGCCGGCCAGGAAGTGACCCCGCCTGCCCCTGCCCTCCCAACCGGGGAGACCTCATCCTGCCTTTAAAGGGAGTGAGCCGGTGGCTCACGCCTGTCATCCCAGCCACCCAGGAGGCTGAGATCTGAGGATCGCAGTTCGATGCCACACCAGGCAGACACATCCCAGAGACTCACCTCCAATGACTCAGAAAAAAATAAAAGCCAGAAGGGGAGCTGTGGCTCAAGTGGCAGAGCACCAGCCTTGGGGATGGAGTGGGGGAATGGGAGGCTCCCCATCTCCAGCCCGGCCACCCCCACCCCAGCGCAGCATGCTCGGCACTCAGCTGGGCTGGGCAGAGGCCAGTGCTCAGGCCTCCACAGCGGGGCCTCTCCTGGACCCGGACAGAACTAAGCGCTGTGCCTTCAGGCTGGACGGATGCCTTGCTGCTGGGTATCCCTGAGGGGCACAGCCATGGTCTGTCCACGAAGCCATTGCCCTGTGGGGTCTCGGGTTTCTCCAGTGGAACGGGGCTCTGATGCTGGGATTACTCATGGAGACGGAAGAGGCCGAGGCAGCGTTCCATGAGCTGGGCCTGGTGCAATGGGCCAGTGCCGGGAGAGGGGGGGGGGAGGGGGCGGGGAAGGAGGGGGAGCAGGTGGCGGCGGCCAGCACGGTGGTGGGTAATGAGCGGCTCCCTGGCAGCCAGCGCTCTCCAAGTAATTAGTTTTTAAACCAGGCAGACGGTTCAAGAACCACTTACTCGGGGCAGCTTTAATTATTTATGCTCCGTCTCCTGAAGATTACAGCGTTCTCTGAGAGGGGGAGGGGAGGCGTGCCCTAGCTGGGCAATCTGTGGTCATTCAGCTGACACTGGTCTGCAGCCCAGTGGAACTTGCTGGAAACCGGGGTGGGTACAGCTAGCTGGGCAGGGCCCCCAGGACACATGCTAGGCTGGCCAGGCTTGCAGCCCTGACGGTCCAGCATCAGGCTGGGAACAGGTTAAAGAGGCAGCACACCTGCCCTGAGTTCAAATCCCAGTACTTACCACACACACACACACACACACACACACACACACACACACACACACACACACACAGAGTCCAGACCTGGAAAAGAGACAGCAAGGCCACTTTCCAGGGCTAAAGGATAAAGAAAATTCTAGAACCTGGTACAGGTGGGTGCCAGCTCCAGGGGGCCCCCAGCACGGCTCAGAACCCACCGTGCTGTGGGCTTGTCACCGTGTGAACGTGGAATTCTACGCCCAGGCCCACGGGTGGATCCAGGGTGTGACAGAGCTGAAAGGGGACCCAGGGCCTGTCCCCTCCTTCTCCCCTCCCTCTCTCTGCTTCCTTGCTGCTATTGGGCGAGCAGCTTCTCTTCCTTTCGCCATGATGTTCCGGCCTTGGCACCTGACAGGCCCCTCTCCCTCCGTCCCCCCTGACTCCGCTAGAGGCGCCTCCATGCCATCTGGGAGGGAGACCTCCTGGCCCTTATCTGAACCCATGTTCAGGAGATGCGGGCTGCAAGGCTGTGTCTGGGAGAGCAGGGTCATACAGGGCCACAGGCAGGCTTGGCTCCAGGCCCGTGGTGTATGCAGTTCTCAGGGACAGCACGCAAATCCCCTGAAGGGGGCCCTGCCCTCCGGAGACCTGCTGCAGGAGGGAGGGAGGAGAGGAGGAAGAGGGCCAGCCCTAGAATAGGGCCCTCCTGACTCCTGACCCTGGACTTGGGCCTGCAGGTCTGTCAGTTTAAGGACCCAGAACTCGCCGGGCGCTGGTGGCTCATGCCTGTAATCCTAGCTACTCAGGAGGCTGAGATCTGAGGATCGCGGTCCAAAGCCAGCCCGGGCAGGAGAGACCGTGAGACTCTGATCTCCAATAAACCACCAGAAAACCGGAAGTGGCGCTGTAGCTCAAGTGGTAGAGTGCTCGCCTTGAGCTGAAGAGCTGAGGGACAGGGCCCAGGCCCAGAGTTCAAGCCCCACGGCCAAAAAAATAAAAAAAAAAGGACCCAGAACTCTGCCCCCCGCCCCCCCCCCCAGCCCAGTGCAGAGCAGCTGTCTGACCATGCCTCTAGAACCCACACTGTCTAGAGGCAATTTGTTCTTCCTGGATGGAACATCCGCCAAACACGGACCCTTTTGTAGCGCTCCACATAGGAAGATTACTTTTGTGCTGGTCCTAGAGCTTCAACTCAGCGCCTGGGTGCTGTCCTTAGCTCCCCCCCCCCAGGATGGTGCTCTAGCATTTGAGCCACAGCTCCACTTCCAGCTTTTTGGTGGTTAATGGGAGTCTGTTTCCTGCCTAGGCTGGCTTCAAACTACAATCCTCCATCTCAGCCTCCTGAATAGCTAGGATGACAGGCATGAGCCACCGGTGCTTGGCTTTGACATATGAAGTCTTAAAAATTTCAAAAAAAATAACTTACAAGGTTGCTCACAGCGCCTCCTTGTGGAGACTCTGGAAACCCACCCGGCTTCTCACCTGCTCCCCGCAGCTGAACCACCTCCCCAGCTGCCAGCCCCCTCCCCACCCCGCGCCCCTTCCTTTAAGAAATGCTCTGAGCCACCCCTCCCCGGCAAGTTCTTATTTTTGCATTTTGTTTTGCCAGTCTTGGGGCTCAAACTCGGGGCCGGGATGCTGTCCCTGAGCGTCTTTTCTGCAAGGCTAGCGCTCTACCGGGGCTCCGGGCCCGAGCCGCCCTCCTCCTCGGGGTCACAGACGCCCTCCGTGCGGGCCGGAGATTGCATTAGAAACCTTTATTTCAGGAAATACGTTTCAACACGGTTGTCATTTATACAAAAAGACGAATTCTCAGGAGGCACATAGCAAAGGCCATCATGGGTCAGCCGGTGAAGGGGAGCTTTCAAACTCTGGGTTCAGAGAGGGGCACAGAGCCATCCCAACCTGGGATGCTGTGCCCCCCCTCTCCCGGGACCCCCGGACTGGGCCCTGGTGCTGGACACTTCGTTCAAAGTCTTGGTTTTGGCAAAAAACAGAAAACATGGCAAGTTGGCAAGTAAACTGTTGAGCTGAGGGTGGGGCGGGTCTCGCCAAGCTCGGGTGGGGATGGCTGCCACCCAACGCAGGAACACACGCGCACACACGCTGGCATGCACGCCCCCCACGCCTCCCACCATCCGCGCGGGCTCCCGGGGTCCGGGACACACACGCCCGGTGGAGGCGGGGGGGAGGGGAGGCCGGAGGGAAGGAAGTGATGGCAGCTGGGGGGGGGTCTCCCTGGGGCGCAGGCCCAGGGTGTCATCACGACCCTGCTGCACGCCAGCCCTTGGTCCTCCCGCCCCGGGGGTCTGGCCCGAGGGCACAGGAGACCGCAGGCGGTGGGCCGGGTGGGCCGCTCCCGCATGCAGATACGCTTCTGGAGGTGGCGAGACTCAGCGTCAGAGTAACCAGCATCTCTGGCCAAACCAAAGACCAGACAGACAGACAGACCTCCCTCCCCCACATCCAGGTAGGGCAGGTCCCACCCGTGCCCCATCTTCCTTCCAGCACCTTTTCCTGGCTTTCTTCTTCAACTCCTCCACCAGAAGCACTCACTCGGGCTTTCCCAAGACTCAGGGTGTGGAGGGGCCCTCTCTGAACCTATTACCCAGAGCCATACGTCTGGAGGTGGGGGGGGGAGGATGGGGACCAGATGAGTCCCTCCCTGCAGTCTGTCCCTGTTTCTGGCTGGGGGAGGGGGAGGGGTCCGCCGGGCGCATGCGCGGCCAACGGCTAGGATCAAGGCACTTTCTGCTTCAGTACGGCTTCCGGGTGGGGCCGGGGGATCTGGCCCGTCCAAGCCATCGTGGAAACTGGGTTGCGTAATTTTCTAGCCTCCCCTTGGGAGCAGTGAGCGAGGGGCTCTCTGAGTTGTGGCCCGTGCCATGGGGGGGGGGGCTCCGGGTTCACCTGGCTGGGCCGTGTCCTTCCCGGTCACTGCCTACAGGACGGAGGGGTCTGGTCCCTGCAAGTCGGAATGCGGGGGGCGGGGGGCACAGACAAGCTTTCTGGCTCCCCGGGGGGCGGGGGTGGAGGGTCAGATTCCTGGGTCCTTTCCTCCAGCCACTGTCCAGCCTCTCCAGTCCTGGGCGAGGCCCGGCGGGGCCCTGCCCGGCCTGCGCCACAGCCGGTGAGCTGTGGCACTGACACACTGAGGAGGTGTCCCCACGTGGAACCCGGCTGCGTGGGGAGGGTCGGAGCAGAACACGTGGAAGAAGTGATATAAAATAAGACGGGGCGGGGGGTGGGCCTGGGGGGACTGGAGGAGTCGGGGGCAGGGTCCCGGGCGCGGGTGGCGTCTACATCTCCTGGGCTTCTGACTCTTTTTCGTCCATGCCATTGGCCATGGTGCTGTGACCCTCGTTGAGCCGCTTCACGCGGTACGCTTCGAAGTGGATGCTGCTGGTGATGTCCTTGATATTCTGCATGTGCGTCCTGGGCCGGGCAGGCTGGGTGTCGGTGGTGCGGCCTGGCCTCCCGGGCCTCCGCACACCCGCACGGGCTCACGCGGCCTCCCTCACCCCGCGCCCTCTCTACGGTCAGCCTGGGGCTGCCCAGGGCCTCAGGGCCTCTGCCTGCTCCCCAGCCTCCCACCACTCAGGGGCTCCGGCCCGGACTCACCTGATGAGGAGGTCCCGCAGGTAGGCAAACTCACAGTGCATGGTGTTCTCCACTGCGGACAGGGGACGGAGGGCGTCAGCGTCCGGCCGATGCCGATGCCCTCACCCCACCCTGGTCCTCCCCTCCCGTGTCCAGCAATCCCAGGCCCAAGAGCCGCTTCCCAGGACAGCTCCCCGGGGGACGGAGGCCCTGGCGGCCCCACCCCACGCTGGGCAGAGGGGCACGGGATGGCGGGACAAACTCAGCTTCTGCGCGCTGTAAGATTTTGGTTCTTTTTTCCTCCCATCCGAGACTGGGACTCGAACTCGCTATCTGATGCTACACACTTGTTGGCAGAATGCTTCCAGCCCCTGTGGAAGGTTTTAGCCTAGCAGCCGAGAAAGGGGGGGTATGCAGAGGAGAGCCCCGGGGGGGGGTGAGGGTCGGCCAGGCGGTCCAGCAGAGACCCGAGGCAGGGCGGGGAGCGGAGCCAGGACTGATGTAGTGATTTACAGAAAGCCCAGGCTCTCTGCTCTTATCCCCCACGGCTCTGCCCTGCCACACACGTGCTCGGGCTCACAGGAGACACACAGAGACCGTGCAAGTGGTCCTTGACCCCCAGAGCCAGCACAGCTCAACGTGACACATGGCCGCCGGGGCAGCTCAGGACAGGGCACGGCCGGCTGTGCTGTGACCCACAGAAGACCTCCCTGCAGGGGGTGGGGGATGGGGCGGAGCAGGCACACCCCGCGCTCTGAGCATTCCTCTGCTGCAGATGTGAGCGAAACGTGGGTAAGGCGAGGGGGGGTGCCTGGTGGAGATGGAGCAATGCCCTGATGCCCTCGTGTGACTTAGGGCAGCACCCCCGGGGGATTCGAGGACAGGAAAGGGGCGCAGTGGCGCTAACCAAGAGGGAACCAACAGCAAGGCAGAACCTCCTAGCGCCCAGACCTGACGGGCGATCGGGCCCCCAAAGGCCAGGTCCCTGGTCAGGGGCACACGCGGGGCAACCCTGGCATGAAGTCATCAGGCTCTGGGAGGCGCCCAGGGTCCTTATGAAAGGCTGCCGGATGAGAGACGGCCCCCCAGCAAACCTCCTGCGAAGGCTGCAGGCTGGTCCTGTGAATTTCCCAACTATTTCCTGACACCTGCCATTCCCCAATTGGCCACCAGAGAGCAGTAGATACACGTCGATGTGGATCCACCCCCCCTCCCCCCCAACCCCGAATTCTCAACCCCCCAAATCATGTCTTTCACACAAAGGTGCTGAAATGCAAGATCTGGGAAGGGGAACACGGGGGGGGGGGGGGGAGGAGAATCAGGGAGGGCCGGAGGGGGCAGAGCCTAGGAGAAGCCGGCCTGACTTGGCGCAAACAAAGACCCACTTGTACAGCCAGCAGCCCTGGCTCAGGGCGCATTACAGGAGAGGCCACGCACTGGAGAACATCGCAGGGTGATTCAGACAGCATCTGGCTGCACCCCACCTGGTGACACCCACACAGTGGGCACAGCAGGGGCGGGGCTGCGGGAGCACCCCAAAAAGGCCTGTGCACCGCTTCCCATTCTCATCCAGCTGCAAACGCCCAACTCCTAACTCAAGAGCCTGTAGTTTTGAGAGCCACCTCCCCTCCTCTTCTCGCTATTAAGAGGGAGGAGGGCCGGGGGACCCGGGGAGAGGGGTGGAAAACTCCAGAGTTAAATTGAGATCCTCCATATGGAGCGCATGCCCTGAGCTCGCGGCCCAGGCAGTGCCGGCTGCCTTGGAAGCCCTACCTGTCTCTGGGATTTCCCCACTTTGCTGGAACCATCCATGGTGGACACTGAGGCCCAAACTCCGACTCTCAACTGTGCTCCTTCTCCATTCAGCCTTTCAGCCAAGCCGTTCCCCAAGGACCCAGTGGCGTTAGCCCCTGGCCTGCTCTGTCCTTTCCTCCTGCGGTCTCACAGCAGGGTGGAGAAAGCCCTGGATCCACCCCCAGGCGCTGCCACCCCCCAGAGGGGGCCCATCTGGGCTGGGAGCAGACTCAGCTCACCCCTGACCTGTGTGGCTGGGACTTGCTTTGAAGTGTTTGCATAGTGAAGGATTTCCAAGCTGGCCACCCTGAGCTCCGGCAGGTCCCACACCAACGCCCCTGTCGGAGGGGAGGCTCCGAGTGCAGCCTGGGGGGCCCCACGGTCTAGGGTCACAGGGGTGACTGGCTTGTCATCCGATCTCTGGCCCCGGCCGGTACCTTCGATGGTGCCCCACTTGGTCTTCCTCCCCAGGATTCTCTTGCCGTTCACTTGGTACTCGTGGTCGCTGCCCACCACAGCAAATGGAATCATCTCCTGGGAGGGGACAGCGGGTGCGTGTCACGGGCCGGGAAAGGCCCAGCCCTTCCCTGAGCCCTGGGGACCCTGCCCCTGGGACCCCAGAACTGAGGGTCTTGGCTGGGAGGAGTGGGGGAAGACACCCCGCCCTCAGTGTGCACCGCCCACTGGGGATGTGGGAACAGCACCAGCTGAGCTGAGCGCGTACCCGGAATTTCTCGTTTACTAGCCGGTCCTCGGAGTCCTCGTCGAACTCCTTCTGGGGGTACACGTCGATGCCGTTGGAGAGCAGGTCCGCCGTGATCTGGGGAGGGAGGGGAGAGCCGGGCCGCCGCGGTGAGGCGCTCTGCCCGCCGCCAGCACTAGGCCAGCAGGGGTCGGCCACCTGGGGCCCAGGGCCCAAGGTTGCCCCAGAGACCCGAGACCCTGACAGCCCCGGGAAGCAGGGGCAGCTGCAGATCTGTCCACCCGAGATGCTGGAGAACCCCAAGGAGCTCTGGGCCCCGGTCCTGGGTGTCCTGTCCAGCTCATCACAGCCGCACCCCCACCCCCAAAGGTTGCTGAGTTCTTCATTTCTGGACCCTTTTTGTAGTAGCCTCCAAGGTCAGCATGGGCCCCTCCCCTCCTATAGTGGCAAGGGAGGGGGTAACAGCCCCCCCACCCCCCCACCCCCGCCATGGCCTCCCTGGCGCTTCCCCTCCAGTGCGTCTGACCCTACCTCCCTAAGCATGTGGGAGCCCCCCCCCACTGGCCCTCACAGCTTGTGGAATCCAAGGGCTTCCCTCACACCCATTGGGTGGGAGCCCAGACTCCTCCATTAAGTTTCCAGATGGTTCAGAAATAGGGCACTGTGGGCTGGGAAGGTGGCTCAGTGGTAGAGCGCTTGCCTTGCATGCTCGAGGCCCTGGGTTCCATTCCTCAGCACCACATAAGCAAAAAGAAAAAAAAAAGCCAGAAGTGGCACTGTGGCTCAAGGGGTAGAGCGCTAGCCTTGAGCTGAAGAGCTGGGGGACAGCGCCCAGGCCCAGAGTTCACGCCCCACGACTGGACCAAAAAAAAAAAAAAAGAAGTAGGGCACTGTCAGGACAAAGTAGCCCAAGCTGGCCACAGCTTGTCTCCAGGGTCCCGAGAGGCAGGGACAGTGGGGAGGCCCCAGGCCCCTACCCGCTGTTTGAAGTAGGCCCTCTCCTCCAGGGTCAGCGTGTCGGCCTTGGCGATGACAGGGACAATGTTGACCACCTTGCTCAGGCGCTTCATGAACTCGATGTCCAGGGGCCTGAGGCTGAAAGGGCACAAGGTGACACCACTCAGGCTAGGGTCCTGGGGTGACGGGACTCAGGCTGGGGTCCCGGGGTGACGGGACTCAGGCTGGGGTCCCGGGGTGACGGGACTCAGGCTGGGGTCCCGGGGCTGGGGTCCCGGGGTGACGGGACTCAGGCTGGGGTCCCGGGGTGACGGGACTCAGGCTGGGGTCCCGGGGTGACGGGACTCAGGCTGGGGTCCCAGAGTGACGGGACTCAGGCTGGGGTTCCAGGGTGACGGGACTCAGGCTGGGGTGACGGGACTCAGGCTGGGGTCCCAGAGTGATGGGACTCAGGCTGGGATGTGGGGTGGGGTCCTGTCCCGGGACCCACACCTGGTGGATGCTGGCAGTGACAGTTATGTTCAAGCACTGGCCGAGTGGGGTGTACGGGGGCTTTCAGGGGTACCAGTAAGCTGAGGCATGCGTGCGTGCGTGCGTGTGTGTGTGTGTGTGTGTGCATACGCGCAAGCGTCCAGTGCAAGGCCAGCTAGCTCCAGGCACCCTGTCCCCCACCTGCCCTTCCCATGCCCACACATGAGGTAACCCTCGATTCTGATGCCATCTTGCTTTGACTGGCTGGGACAGGAAAAGAATGGGGGCCCCCAAGACAGGCTGGTGGCTCCCCAGCAAGCCTGAGGTCTGACATGGGACAGGGCAGTGGAAGAGAGGCCGGTGGAGCCTGACAGAGTGGGTGTCTCTGTCCTGCTGGAAAAGCACGCTTCCAGGCAAAGCTGGCCAAGGACCACCCATCCCCTGGGACTGGGCGCTGGGGGCGGAAGCCAGGCCCAGGGCCCAGCGGGGTCCTAGCCCAGAGGGTTAGCTCTGGGGGACCACCCTTGGCTAGCCCAGCCGGCATCACATCAGGGCTCTGTCTCCCTCCTCAGCCTAGGCAGAGCTTGGGAACGGCCGACGGGCGGCCACAGGACCCTAGAGCAGCAGCTCTGCCTTGCGGAGGTCTCACAGCATCCTGTCTCTGGTGGACTGCTGCTGTTCCCCGTGGGAACCCCACCTCACTGTTAGCCCAACAGACCAGCAGCAGCTGCTGCCCTGGGCCTCAGGAAGAGGTGGCCAGCAGGGGGGCAGAAAGGGCCCTAAATCCTGAGCACACACAGGACTCCTAGGGAGCTGAGGACTGACTGGGAGGGAGGAGACACCCCTCCGTGCCTCCCCCCACACCCGGGCAAGGCATCCAGGGCAGGGCTCTGGGTGCAACTTCAGGGTGGACAGGATGAGAAGACAGTCTGGGCCTGCAGCAGCTGTTGCCGAGCCAGGCCAGGCCACTGTTCTCCCTGCCTTCCTCCAAGTGGTCCAAGGGACCAGGGTGGGAGGGTGGTGAGTGGGCGTGACCACTGAGTGGGTGTGGCTACGCCATGGGAGTGGCCACTGTGTGGGTGTGGCTACAGAGTGGGAGGGGCTCTGGTGGAAGTCTAGTAGCTGAGTGAGGCTGGCCTCCAGGGGCGTCTCACTTCACTTAATGGCCGCACCCCCCACCCAGCTCCCCACAGCTGTGGGTGCCGAGCGGAGGACCCGTGAGGACCACCCCGGGGGTGGTGGAACCCCAGAACCCATCCCCAGGACCAGGGCCCTGGAGGGGACCTACGAGTGGCCGGTGGCGGGGATGAAGTAGAGGCAGCAGTGGACGCGCGTGTCTGGGATCCGCCTCTTGCGGTTGATGTTGACCTCCTCCTGCAGGTACCTCTCATACTGGTCGTTGATGAATTTCATGATGGGCTGCCAGCTGTGTGGAGAGACCCCGCTCAGCCTCACATGGGACCCTCTGCCTTCATCCCCTTTACCCCAGGTCAAACCCCAGAACTCGGGCAGATGCTTGGCGCTCTGCTCCCACCTTCCCCATGCTGACCTCTGACCTGGGGGGCGGGGACTCGATTTCTATGGTGATTCCACTTTGAGTCTTTGGAGCTCAAGGCACAAGGCTTTAGCAGCACATGGGCCCCAGGTCCCTCTGGTTAGGTGCCCTCCAACCCCCACCAGCTCCCAGAGCCACTCACCAGTTCTCATTGTTGATGTGGTCTCCGAAGCCGGGCGTGTCGATGACCGTCAGCTTCATGCGAACACCCTTCTCCTCAATATCTGAATAACCCAGAGCACTGGAGTCAGAGGCACGTCCCAGGGGAGAAAACAATCTGCCCATGGAGCCCAGGGGGTCACCACCGGCGTGTCCCCTTCCATGGTTCCTGGTGGTATCTACGGGGGCACTGGCTAGAGGGGCCAGAACCAATCATCTCCCAAGACTTAAGATGTCCAGGGGATCCCAGTGAAGCCCTAGACTCGCCTGACCAAACTGGGCTCCCTTTGTTCTGTGGAAGGAAGGGCCTCACTGCCCAGTCCCCGCCCCCACGACACAGGCCCCACAGCCCAGTCCGACCCCCAATGCCCAGTCTCCACCCTCAATGTCCAGGCCCCGCCCCCACAGCCTAGGCCCCATCCCCGGGTGCTGACCGTGGGTGATGGACTTGATCTCGATGGTCTTGGGGATGCGCTCCTCAGAAGAGGGCTGCACCGACTTCCGGCTGATTTTCGACTTGAAGAGAGTATTGATTAACGTGGACTTCCCTAAGCCGCTCTGCCCTGAGGACAGAACAGAGGAAGGCTGCTTGGTGAGCTTTCCACCAGGGTGGTTGGTGGGCAAGGCTACGGCGATGCCCAGGCTCACGGCACGCAGGCCGTCAGTGCCCAGCGAACTTGCTCAGGGGGCTTTGCCTCTGGCCGTGGGTCCAGTGACACAGAGAAGAGACAGCTGGGCTCCAGTGCCTAGCCCAGCTTGGCCACGGAGGCCGAAGGAGGCTCCGAGACACGAGGCCCAGGTGGGAGCAGCAGGCGTGGGCTGTGCCTACAGACCCAGCTTTGAGCCTGGGCCGTGGGTGAACACACGTGCCCAGACCCCTCCTACCACCCCGTAGAGCAGCCTGGGAGTTCAAATTAGATGATGGAGCATTTGCTCCTGAAGCATGAGTCACCATGAGGACCGCCCGGGCCCGGGGCTGGGTCCCAAGGCCAGCAGGTGCTTCTGCCATGGTGACCCGGGCCACTGCAGCCACCAGGAGAGGGAAGAAGTCTCCAGGGGCACCTGCCAGGCAGGCAGCTGAGCGAGGCTTCCAGGAGGCCGCCAGCCGGGCCTGCTGGGGGTTCGGGCTGAGCTCCTTCGGGCCGAGGGCCACAGTGGACAGAAGGAGGAGCTCAGCAAACACCTTGGTCCAGGCAGGCGTTGCCGGTCACAGCTCGGGCCTGTTCACCCAGGGGATGCCAGGGGTCCGCAGCAGGGCCCCTCTGCAGAGCCATGGCCCTCCGTGGGGCGCATGGATGCTCACGAGCGTTCACGCTCTCCCCCGTTTTACAGAGGAGAGGCTGCCCCTCGGCGCTGGCGGGGGGGGGGGGATGGCGCGGAGGACAGCTCCTGGGGACTCACCGACCACCATGATGTTGAACTCGAAGCCCTGCTTCATGGCCTTCCTGCGCATCTGCTCCAGGATGGAGTCGATCCCCACGTAGCCGAAGTCCACCGGGGCCTTCTCATTCCGCGGCGCGGGCGCCTGCTTGAGCATGGCGTCTCGGGAGGTGTCCGCCATGTCGCCCACACAGCTGGGAGCCGCTTCAGAGGCTGGGGAAAGAGGAGCAGCGGTTCAGGGTGTGACAGAGCCCCAGGGTGCCCTCAAACATCCACATCGCCATCAGATGGAGAAGCTGAGGTCCAAGCAGCTCGTCCAAGAAACCCATGGGGAAGGCAGGCCCAGGGCCACGGTGGCCTCAGGCAAACCACACCCCGAAGCCACGCTGCGCCAGGCTCTAATCACCTTCTCTGCCAGCAATGCCTGCCCGGACCGCTCTCCTCCGTGGCTCCAGGCGGGCTGAGAACACTTGAACCGCCTTCCCTCCGCTCCCCATCCACAGGGCCAGGCAGGCAAGGAGAGCGCTGGGCCGAGCCGGGCTGCTGACCACCTAGTCCACCCTGCCCCCCATCCACAGCCCAGCCCAGCTTCTGCTTTCAGGTCTGCAGACTGGGGTGAACTTCCGGTACTCGGGGCTTCCGTGAGCATCAGAGCAGAGCCTCGGCCCCTCCCCTGGGTCACACTTGTGGGTCAGAGGCTGGGGTGGCCAGAAAGGAGCCCCAAGCAATGCCACTGGACACCCTCGGCACTGCAGCCCAACACAGGGGCTCAAGGCTTCTTCCACTGGGGTCCGGCTGGGACCTGGGGCCCCCAGGGACCAGCCAGGGGCCAGCTGCCACCCCTCCCCCCGCGCTGCTGTGGAGGCACAAACGCCCCACCACGGAGCCACACACTGCTTTGACCCCAAAGCTGCCCTTGCCAGCCCGTAGTGCCTGGCCCTGGCAGCGCCCGCAGGCTCAGGGTCTTCCCTGGTCCACAGGACACCAAGAAGGCCCCCCTCATTCTCCAGCGCTCTGCTGGAGCGCCCTACACAGGTACCGGGCGCCTCTTCAGACACCTGCTGGGCAGGGGTGCAGGGGAGGGGGAGGGCAGAGGGGGCAGCGTGGGCACCCAGCCTTCCAGGCCTCCCAGCGAAGAGGCCCCAGGCAGGATTGGGTTAAATTGCTCTTCTTCCTGGTCAGACACCACACTTGGGGGTCCCCCAGCCAACAGCTGGAGCCCTGATGGCCCTGGCCAAACCCTGTGTTCGCTCCTCTTCGTTCTGCTACATTGGGGTGACTGGTGGGAATCGAGATTTCCCCCCTCCCCCAGGCCCAAGGTGGGGGACAGAAGGAAGAAGACGAAATTGCAGCAAAGGGGGCAGAAGCACTATGCCCGGCCACCTACTCCCCAGCCGCTCCACACGGAGCGCACACAACCCCGCTTCCAGGAACCCAGGGCCAATAAAACAACAACCAGCAAATACCCATGCCAGGAATTGATTGCCAGGAGGAGCCCCAGCTCTGGGCGCCAGGCTGCCAACCCCGCCCCCACCCAGCCCCGCCCCGCCCCACCCCGGGACACTCAGCCCTGCAAGGCAGCAAAAGCAGGGGCTCTGCTCCCTGCTCAGAAATATCCTCCCCAGCTTCCAGCATCTTTAAATAAACAAAGACGCAGTGTTGCAGCTGGCCGAGGAGCTGTGGCTTTGAGGCCCCGCTTCCTGGAGCCAGACAGGGGCCCTGCCTTACAGGGCAGCGGTTCAGCCCTCACCCATGTGATTGAAAATTGCTTCCATCTGTCTGTGGGTCTGGGAGCCATTTTGCCCCATGCTGAAGCCCACCCCACCCCCCCTCCTTCCCCTCCCCCCAAGTGAGGCAGGAAGGTCCGCAGGGGCTCCAGGTGGGCCCTCCGCGGGCACCAACCAAACATCCCACCCACCACGTGCCCCACAGAAGCCATCAAAGCACATGGACGCCCCTTCGTTGCTAGAAGTGACCCAAGGTTTCTAGCTCCTCACACACTCCTGCAGGCCCGTCCTCTGGGAGCCTGCCCAGCCCTGCAATCAGGACCGTCACCCAGAAAATCACCCGGGGCCTGGCCAGCCCCCACCCCCCATGCCGAGGCAGCCGGAAACGATGCCGATGCCGGAACCCACCCACGCCCTGCTTCCTCGCAGCCCCGCGTCTGCCACGGGCCAAGGGCAGCTTGTAAGCAAAACATTATCACCTTAACCATCTCAACGTAGACTTTTGGGGAGGGGAGAGGTCAGGCAGACACAGGCTGTGGTGCAACCAACTTCCAGAATGTTCTGAGCCTGCAACAGTACAGCCCTGTGCCCAGCCTGCTTCCCGTGTCTGAGTCTGACCACGCCGAGGCCTCCAAGGCGGGATCGTACGGTACTTGCACTTCTGTGCTTGCCTATTGTGTCTCTTAGCACAGCGGCCTCACGGTTCATCCGCAGGGGAGCGTGTGCCAGGATTTCCTTCCTTTTCAAGGCTGAATAATATTCCTTAAAACCGGCATAGGAACGTTTTATTTATCTGTCCGTCCGTCCATGCACGTCGAGGCTGCTTCCTCCTGTAGACTTGTCTGTAGCGTGACCACCAACGCGCACACAGCTGAGACCTGCTTCTTTTCTTTGTTTCGTTTTTGTTTTGTAGGTTAGGTTAGCCTAGATTTTTTTTTTAACTTGGTGCCAGTGCTGGGGCTTGAACTCAGGGTCTGAGCGCTGCCCTGAGCTGGCTTTCTTTGCTCAAGGGGAGTGCTCCGCCACTTGAGCCACAGGCACCCTTTCGTCTTTTTTGGTGCTTAACTGGAGATGAGTCTCATTAACCTTCCTGCCCAGGCTGGCTTTGAACTGCGATCCTCAGGCCTCAGCCTCCTGAGCAGCTAGGATTATAGGTCTGAGCCGCCGGCGCCCACTGGCTTGGAGCTTTTGATCTTCCTGCCTCAGCCTCCTGAGTGCTGGAATTACAGGTGTGCACCACCAAGCCCAGCAGTGTCTGGGCATAGCCATTTTTTACTTCCGAGGCACTGCAGGTATGCTCACATTGGGCTTCAGAGTGCTGGAGACTAAGCTGTCAAATGAGGGACCCCCATTTTTTTTTTACTTAATTTTCACTCATTTAAACTTAAATAGCTACGCATCCCTAGCAAGAACTCTGCTAGATGGTGCTAAATCCTGCCCCAACCCCATCTGTGACAAACAAGGTTGGGATCCAGGCAATGATTACCCCCCAGCGCAGTCAGGTCAACAAGAGACCCCACAGACCCCACCAAGACGGCAAACACACACAACCTGGGATACTTGATGCGCACCGTGTTCCCCCTGTGCAGATCCTGAGCTCCGGGCCGGGTCTCCCTGCCTGGGGTCCAGGCAGCGCATCTCCTGACACCCCAAGCCCCTCACGGACCTACTTGAAGCTCCCACTGCGACTGGCTCTGCTCTCAGGGCGTTTCTAAATTCTAAGTCAACAAGCAGTAGATACAAACATCCAAGGCCAGGCACCAGGGGGCCCGTCCACAGTCCCGGTACTTGGAAGGCTGAGGTAAGACTCCCAGGCCAGGCAGTAATACTTGGTTCAAAAAAACTGACCAGAACTGTGTAAAGCACCCATTCACACGCACAGGTGAGTGTGTGAGGCATCCTGACACAGCACACGCCCTTCCCCCAGGACCGCAGCTCGGAGCGAAGGAAGGGATGAAGGTCAGTGTGGGTCAGCCTCGAAGTCATGACACTGAGAGAAGAGAGTGGCCAGAGCACCACGCCACGGAAGGGTGCATGCCAAGAGCACCACGCCACCAACGCGTGCATGCAACACGCCCACCCCTGACAAGTCCACATTTTTTGTGCGGGGGGAGGGGGGGAGGCTGGTGGGAGGGGAAGACTGCGTAATGAGTATGGAGTTTCCTTTGGGAGTGATGGATGGAAACGTTCTAGAATTGGAGGCGATGGCTACCCGACACTGTGAATGAACGCAGAGCTGGATAATCTGGGCGGCAGAATGGAGGGGCGGGAGGAGGCGGCAGCTTCCGGCCTTCCTTGGCTGGGGTCCGGAGGACCTCTGGCGGCGTGGCCTGGCAGTGGCGGTGTCCTGGGTGCTGTGGGAGGCCCGGCAGTGTGTGTCCACAGCTCGCTTTGGCCCTCTCTGTGGCTTCCTCTCTGCCTTGTGTCCAGGGCTGAGGGGTAGCAAGGAGAGAGGCCCGCTCCACCCTGGGCAGGCTGCTGCCTCCCCGCTGCGACAGACCAGGTGCCCACCCCAGAGCCCACTCGGAGCGGGAGACAGCAATGGGCTGTGATGCACTTCGGGATGCTCACACTTCATCCCAGCCTCGGGGTGACCTCAGTCTGCCAGGTAGGACTGGCTTGCCAGACTAGACCTGGAAACCCCAGGCCCAAACCCACAAGCCCCCCACCCCCCTTTCCTGCTGCCTTGCTGCTGCAGGGGGGAGGGGGAGGGACCACAAGCCCCTCCTTTCCTGCTGCCCTGCACGGGGAGGGGGAAGGGGGGAGGGAGATGAGCCCATGCCCTCTCCCGGCCAGCAGCACTGCCTCCCGGGAAGCCCTGCGGGGCAATGGCCAATGGCCTCGGAGCCACAGCCCAACAGCTCCCAGTTCAGTGCCGGTGACAGCCAGACCTGCACCCCAGGGCAAACCCAGTGTCATCCCCACATCTTACTCCAACACAAGGCCGCCCAGTTCTCAAACCACAGGAGGCAGAGCCATCTTCTCGACTCATGGGGCCAGGTCAGCCTGTCCCTGCAGCCCCAAGGGCGGCCCAAGTCTCACATGGGGGACGGGGGTGGGGGGCTTAAAAGCAGGGGCAGCTGGGCCCTAAGGACTGAGCCGTCTGTCCCCATAAACGTCAGCTGTTCCCAGACCCCTGTGAAGGGCTGTGTGTGTGTGTCTCATGGACTTTCCTCCTCAGGCTGGCTTCGAACCTCGATACTCTGAGCGGAGCCTCCTGAGGAGCTAAAATTCCCGGTGGAGCCGCTGGCGCCAGGCTTGCAGAGGGCTTCTTACAGTGGGTGAGTGGCCGTGGAAGAGACGTGAGGAGCCCAGCCAAGGCCTCACGGGCATCGCCACCGCCAGACACAGCAAGTGCCACCCTTAACCCCTCACAGAGGAGCAAACTGGGGGGGGGGGAAGAGGGGGGGGGCATCTTTCACCAGCAAGGATCACAGAGCTAGCGAGAGGCAGAGGCAGGAACTGAACCTGGGCTCAGGACTGGGC